ATTACTTTAGCTATTATAGTAATAGTTAGTATATATACTAGAAGTGATACTATCCTAGCTATTAGGGGGTAGAATATATCTAACCTATATACCCTCACCCTTACTATATTTAATATAGGTGTTCTTAGCTTTATTACTATTAATTTAAATTATTATTACGATAGTATTACAGAAGCTTTTACTCTTCTTAAACTTACTGCTTATCTTAGTATTAATCTTAGTATTATGCTAGATAGAGGTATTAGTAAGATTACTTATAGTACTTTTAGTAGGCTTCTAAAAGTCCTTAATAAGACCTTTTATATAGATATACTTCTAAATAGCTATAATACTTTTATTAGTATATAATATATAATAAATAAGTAGAGAAAGATATACTTTTAGGAACTTTAGTTTAAGTTAGGGCTTAAGAAGAGGATGCTTTTATAGGCTTCTAAGTAGTAATAGTCTTCTACTAATAGAAAGGAGTAAATTTAGTAGCTTTATTATTATCCTACTCTTAGAAGAAGTACTTCTTATACGCCTACTTAATTATAAGCTTTCTAGTACTAAGACTAATAAAGTGAGAAGGCGCCTACTCTAAGGATCTAGGGATATTATTATAGTTATACTAATTAGCTATTTTTACTGTTAAAGCTGCTATTATTAATATAATATAGGATATATTCTAAGGAAGGATTAATAAGTCTTTTTTAGGTTTTAGAAGAAATAAGTAAGGTTAATCTATTATAGTAAATATAAAGTAAAGTAGTCTACTATAGTAAATATAAAGTTAAATAGAGAGAAGGTGAATATTAAAGGGAAGGTAAAATAATATTAGATATAAATATAGTAAGAGTATATATATATTAGAGAAGGTATAAAGATAATAAAGAAGATAAAGGTATTATTAGATATTATAGTCTTTTTTAGAAAGAATAAAATAGAAAGTGCTTTTAGGATAATATCTTTTATTATATATAAATATATTAATATAATATATAAAGAGGTAGGCTATAATAAACTATATTACCTAAATATCTTATATTTATTATATAAAGTAGTTTTTAACATTCTATAAATAGTATTAGTAAGGTATTTATTTAGTTTTATTATTTAACTTAAAGCTACTTACTAATTCTACTTATAACTTAATAGCTTTTAACTATTTCAGATACTTAACTATACTTAAAGCTGTAATTAAGTAGTGGATATATATAAAAAATATGCTTTTCTTTCCTCTTTTAAATAATATTATATATATTTTACTTATAGGAATATTAGAAATATTATAATAGTTTCTAATTATCTATATAAAAGCTTATTTTCTATCTACTTACTATTATTTCCTTTCTCCTCTTATAAATATACTATTAAAGATAAACCTAATAGACTTAGAGTTTTTTCCCTATCTCTATAGTATTTAATACTATCTTCACTAGCTTTAGTAATATATTTTTTATAAGAATAAATAGATAGTAGATACAGTAAAGCTAAAAAAATACTTACCTTTTAAGCTAGCTACTTTATACTAGAAAGCTATACTAAAACTAATTATTAATAATAGTAATAATAAGGATAATAATAATAGAATTAGCCTCTTTAACTATAGCACTAGTATCTTTAAGTAGGAATAATAGTATAAGTATAAATAAGCTAAGTAGGAAAAGAGTTTATAAGCCCCTTCTATAGAAAGAAGCTCTTTAGTAAGATAAGTAAATAAAGAAGCATTTACCTTTTAAGCTAAATACTTTACACTAACTATATTAGCTACTTAGAGATTATTATACGTTAATATATTATTAACTTTATTAAAATTTCACTTTATAAATTTAATATCTTTACTCTTAGTATTATAAAGTATTTTATACTAAAAGATTACTTAAAGGTTTTATAAAAAAGTATTATTTCCTCTTTAAAGGAAGAGAAAGCTATTAAACTAAAAGAAGAGTATCTATTAGAGGGGGAAGTAGAGTTTTATATAGAGTAATACTAATAATAATAATAGGCTTATATATTAAGTATAAATAGCTTAAACTTACTATATAATACTAGCTAGCTTTATAAATTAATTATTATATTACTATTTAGTACTAGTAAGCTCTACTATCTAGGGTAACTTTATAGTAACTTATTAGTAATTATAATATTAAGTAGTAATAGAGCTATTTATATTATCCTCTATCTATTATATTATAACTTAAATAGAGGAAGTATAAAGTAGTTTATCTACTTATCCCTTTTAAGTTTAAATATAGTATTAGTATAGTTTCTAATACTTAGAGGAATACTCTCTATAGAAAGGCAGCCTATAGCCCTTCTTCTAAAGCCTTAGTATTATTAGCTATAGCCTACTAATATTACTCTACTACTATTATAGTACAGCTAGTTATTAACTTTATTACGTTTACTATTATAGTGTAGTTAGTTTTTAGCTTTACTGCGTTTACTATTATAGTACAGCTAGTTTTTAACCTCTATATTTAAGTAACTATTATTAGGGATAAATAAGTAAGTAAGATTTCCCTATAATTATAATAATTTCTATAAGATTTCTTAGGTAGAATTTAAGACTTATTAAAAGGTAGGTGAGATTTCCCTATAACTATAATAACTTCTATAAGATTTCCTAAGTAGAATTTAAAACCTATTAAATAGATTTAACTAAAGACTTTTACTAAGGATATATATATTTAGTCTTAATTAATAATACTAATAGCTCTCTCTAGTATAGCACCTGAGAATTAGACTAAGTTTTAGATAATTCTGCTTATAATTAAATTTATAGTGTAGCTATAGCACTTTTTATATAACCTAACTATATAGTGCTCTCTAGTTAGTATAGAATAGACTAAGTAATTATATATAATTACTTATAGTTATTATTATCCTTATCGTCCTTATTATTCTTATTATTCTTATTATTCTTATTATTCTTATTATTCTTATTATCCTTATCGTCCTTATTATCCTTATTATTCTTATTATCCTTATTATTCTTATCACCTTTATTATTATTACTCTAGGTAACTTAGACTGAGGTTAAGTAATTATATATAATTACTTAACCTCTTAAGGTATTAATTTATACTTATTTTAAGGTTAGAGAGTATCCTTTTTAAATAAATATATCTAGAGAAACCTTTAAATAGAAAGATCACTTTATCTAATCTTACTTATTAACTTCTTTCTTAGATATTTCTTCCTATAAATAACTTTTATAGTTAGATATTTTATTATTTTAATTATCTTAATTTACTCTTTCTAATAGTGAAATTACTAACTATAAAAGTCTATTTCTTATAAAGTTATAAGAGAATAAAAGTTATATCTCTAAATAAGTATTATTATCTATATTATTTAAATATTAAGGATATATATATAAAGTATCTCTAAGGATAATATTACTTTAGAAGTTATACTTTATTTTAACTAAAGTATAATAAAAGATTAATTAAAAAAGTAAAAGATTAATTTAATAAAATAAATCTATTAAATTAATCTTAAGGAATAAGCTAGAGATTAATAAGATCTTAAATCTAACCTTATTATAATTAGTAGATAGAGGATAGGTAAGTCTAAGGATTTTTATAAGATAACTATAACTTAATAAATAATACTTAGTTTTTAGATATAAGCTAGTTAAGAGAGGATAAATAATATATACTTAGTTTTAATATATAAGTTAGTACTTCTAGTTAAGATATAGTAAGTTAGAACTAAGGTAATTATTATAGTATATTATACTATTTTTAAGGTTTAAATAGTAACCTTTTAGAATTACTAGCTCTAGAGATTTATTAGTTTTATTAGTAGAAAGTAATACTAACTAGACTAAATAGCTATTTAATTCTATCTTATAAGGAGTATTTATTAATAATTTATTATTAAAATAAGTATATAAGGGGCTTAAGGTATAATAAAGCATAAGATAGAATAAAAAAGTAATATAAAAAAGAAGGATTAGTTAAAATATATTAGAATAAAGCTATAAGTATATAATTATTACTTTTAGATAGGAATAGCTTTAGGTGTAATTATAACTAATTATATATAATTACGTGTAATTATATAGGATTCTAAGGGAATAATCTATATATAATAATTAGATTTATGGATTTATAGATTTATAGATTTGTGGATTTATAGATTTAAAGCCTAGAGGGTATTAGCTAATTAGAAGCGTTTATTTCTAATGGACTGATGGAATTGTGGATTAGTGGATTAGTGGATTTGGGGGTTAGCGGACCTGTCCTTACAGTGCACCGTAGTCTATCCCCCCAGTCTACTGTCTGCCCCAATCCCACCCGTCACTCAGTCCATCAGTCAGTCAGTCAGTCACTGACTTGTCGCTGATTTCCCGGTGGTTGACTTTGGGCTCATCTGTCCATCTGTTCATCTGACGTCCAGTCTCTGCTGCTCTCCTCCGACCTGCCTCTCCTCGCGCCCTCATTGTTGGCTGTGCCCTGGCGGCTCTTAATTCCGTGCTGTTCCTGCATTTGTGCCTCAAATCCACTGTCTCTCTCTTCTACTCCCCTCGCCTTTTTTCTTTTCCCTTTCCTCGTTCATCCTTCCGCATCATTGCAACTCTTCAGATCCAACGACAGCGCCACGGAACCCACGGTCTGATCCTAGTTCTCCCGCAACAGAAGACGAAGACGACATAAAATCTCACAACGCTCACCCTGCTTGCGCAACCGCCTTACCAAGCCTCAGCCCGTCTGCCTGGCCGACTATCCCCGGACAGACCACATCTTACTCACTCTCAATCCAATCCCATCCCGGCCACTCCTACACTACCAAACCCACCTTACCTTGCCTTTGCCGCCACTGCACACACGCAGGCAGGCAAACTCCCTCGCTCCAACCCGTCCACAGTCCGTGTGCGACTGAGTGAGTCCCCTCCGAGTCTATTGTAACCGCATCCCGCCATCCGCGCGCAACGCATGGACCACGACGACGGCTAGAGCCTCCGCCGCCATCGTCATCGTCCTCCCAACCACCACCTACCCCCGTCTCTCATGGGCGACCGCCGCCGGGCCCTTGGCTCGGAGGAGCCCTCGGAGGAAAAGACGGAACCCTTCTCCCAGACCGAGATCGACCGGCGCCTGGGCAGCATCCGCGTCGACGAGCCCCTCGACCTGCCGCAGCCCGACGCCGTCCCGCTCGACCAGCTGCGCGTCGAGGAGCACCACCACAAGCAGGGCATCCGCATCCTCGTGAGGCCCCTCACCCGCAGCCGCTCCGTCAGCCCGGGCAACTACAACTGCCAGTGGCTCGCCCTGCGCGCCGAGGTCGCCTCCGAGCAGGAGCCGCAGCACAAGGTCCTCGCCGTCACCCAGACCTCCAAGGACATCAAGTTCTCCGTGCGCATCCCGCCGGAACGCCTCGACGACGACAACACGCCCCGCCCGCCGCTGTGGTGCGAGCTGTACTACGACCCGGCGAGCGACAACCAGATCCTGCTGAACCGCTCGGAAGTGCCCATCTCGCTGACCAGGATATCCGACGGGCCGTCGAGCTGCGGATGGACGGTCAACCCCGGGACGCCAAAGGCGCTCTCGCCGGGCACATGGCGCATCAACGTGCGCGAGACGTCGGTCCTGGACTTTAGAGTCCTGGCGAAGCGCCCGGCGTTCTTCAGGCAGGACTCCGACCTCAGATCGGAGCCAGACTCCGGCTCCGGCTCAGACGCCCTCAACGCCTCCGGCAAGCGCTCCTTCACCCTCGACGCCGGCGCCGACCCCGCGCGCACCGAGAAGAAGCCGCGCACCGCCGACGAAGAAGACGGCGTCATCATGTTCCTCCGCCCGGCCGCGAAACCCCTCGTCTTCCCCCTCCCCACGGAAGCCAAAACCACAACCACCGGCACAAGCAGCGCGCTCGTCCCCGCCAACGGCCACGCCCTGCTCGACATGCAGTCCCGCGAGACCGTCGCCATCCCCGGCGGCTGCGAGATCGACGAGTACACCGTCACCAAGCGCGACCAGATCGCCTCGACTGCGCTCTCCTCCGTCTTCACCGCCGAGCACTCCAACGTGCCCGACGGCATCGTCACCGTCAAGGTCCTCAAGACCCGCGCCGCCGCCCCCTCCGCCGCCAACCCCGCCGCCAAGCCCCAGGACAACAACGAGCGCAACGTCATCCGCCAGGCCGACATGTGGCTGCGCGAGTACCAGTCCCAGGACGACCTGCGCCACGAGTCCATCGTCAAGCTCTACGGCGGCGACGCGCGCTACCTGTCGCTCTACATGGAGCACGTCGACGCCAAAGACCTCGCCGCCAAGGGCGTCTGGCGCAATCATCTGGATCACTCCTTCACCGGCACCCGCGCCGACGCCTTCGCCATCCTGCGCGACATCGCCGGCGCGCTGCACTACCTGCACAGCAAGTCCCTCGTGCACAACGACATCAAGCCCGCCAACATCCTCTACTCGCCGTCGCGCGGCGCGGTCCTCTGCGACTTTGGCCTCTCCACGCACACCTCCGGGCCGGTGACCACCGGCGGCACGCCGTACTACATCCCGCCCGAGTTCATCGGCAAGAAGCTGCGCGGGCCGCCGTCGGACGTGTGGGCGCTGGGCGTGACGATGCTGTACGTGCTGGGCAAAATCCCGTTCCCGGACGCGCGCAGCCGCAAAGGCGGGCACGTGGGCGGGCGCCCGCTGTACTGGATGATCGCGGACGTCAACCGCACGATGGCGCCGCCGCCGATGGGGACGCGGCCGCCGTGCGCGGCGGTGGATATGATGTACATCTGGCTGAGCGAGGTCGCGCAGGCGCGGGAGAAGCTGTACCCGCGCGACAAGCTGGAGAGGCTGGTGAGTGATATGCTAATCCCGTTGCCGAGCCAGCGGATCACGATGGCGCGGGTGATGAGGGAGCTGTTCCTTGTGGAGCAGAGCGCCGTGAAGAGGTGACTGTGACGTGATGACGTGAGGTTTGTTTTTGCATTGGATTTAATACCTGTGTTCTTTTATGTTTTGACGAGACGGATGTGTTTTGCGAGAGATACCACTGATGTTGGGCATTTGTTTTCATTTTCTTTGTTGATTTCTGCATTCAGTAAGTCGTTTGCATTTTTAACATGGTTTTGTCGCCGTTGACGTGAACCAGACTTGCATTTTTCTGCATCATACACTGTTGCGCGAATCTCATATACCATACAGAACCAGCATATCGCATCATTAGGAACATTTTTCCTCATTGTTTTTATTTTGCATCCACGGAGGGCGGATGGATGGAGGGGCTGGTATCAAGGCATACAACTCATGTACATTAGAAAGGGTCGTCACACACGCCCACGCACATAACAACACACAACACATTTCTCATGCTCTCGTGATGTCCCCCCTTCACGTCACATCTTGCCCCCTACCCGTCGCATCACATCCTCACAAACTCATCCCGAAGACGAAGGCCATGCTCAGACCGACGATGGACGTCAGCGCAACCGCGTGAGAACTACGTCCCGCCGCGCCACTGCTGCCGCCGCCGCCCGAGGTCGAGTTGCCGCTGCTGCTGTTTCCGCTGCCGCTGCCCTCCTCGACGGTGCCGTTGGCGCTCTGCTCCTTGACGGTGTACACCTCCACGCCCTCCGTTTTGCACTGGTCCGAGGGGAGCGTGGTCGCGTTGGCGGTGAAGCGGATGTCGGCGCACTATATCCCATCGTCAGCTTATGCTTCCCCTCCCGGTTCTCCGGTTTTAAGAGCACCAAAACCCAGGTGAAATGTGGGAAACAGAGGATAACTCACGTTGTAGAGGCCAGCCCCGGCGTCGCCCACAGTCACCACCTGGATGCTCCCCTTCTGTCCCTCCTTCGCGGGCGTCGTCAGGTTGAGCTTCTCGACGCAGAGAACGCCGCTGCCGGTGGCGTTCCAGAACTGCGGGGTCAGCGTGATGTTGTGCGTGGTCACGTTGCCGTCGGCCTCGATGCCGAGGTTGATGAAGACGTAGGTCCAGTCGTGGTGCAGGTCGAGCTCGAGAGAGCCGCCGTCGAGGGGCCAGTCGGTGACGTTGCCGGTGCCGTAGGGGACGCCGGCGCCTTTTGGGTGGGTGGTTAGTATTTGAAGGGATCATGCTGTGGTGAGAGGAGGAATAACGTACATGGGTACAGCCACTGCGAATATCCCGTCTCATTCGTGCCCTTGAGCGTGTCGGCTCTCCAGGAGGGGTAGGCGAGGCCGAAGTGCGCGGCGGCGAGGTTGGCGGCGCCGAGGGCGACGAGGAGGGTCTTGGGGGCCATTTTGTTGTTTCTGGTTCCTGCTGATCTTGTGGAGATGGTAGTTTAAGTCTGTTCAGCGGGTCGGTTGATGGGACAAGATCTTGCCAAGACTCGAGACTGGAGAGTGTGCGATGCCACACCAAGAGACAGAGGCACTCGCGGTTATATATACCCTTCTACCACCACCTGCTTGCTTGTTTGCATGTGTTGTAACCCCCGCAGAGGAGCATGCAGATTGCGTTCTAAAATGTTTTAGCTTATCCTTCCCATTGGGAAAGGTAGGCATGGCAAGGATGGGAGCTGTTGCTGCCCTTTGGGATGTGGTTGGTAGACAGCTAGTCGGGCTGGCCAGCTGCAAGAAACCTGCGCAGGAAAGAACGCCACAACGAAACGAAAGAGGAGACCTATGGCAGCGTGCCATCTCTGCTGGGTTCGGCATCACGTCTAGACCGGGCTCGCATGCCTGCTTCACTGGGAGAGACGCTGTAACGGGAAGGTGAACCAATCTCAGCCGCCAATTGAGCAAGTTTTTCTTATTTGCTGCTAGCGACGAGCTCGCGACTAAGCTTAACGACAAACGGGATGTTGGCAGCTGCGTTAAGCTTACATGGATGGGCTTGAGATCGGAGAGAGGTTCGTGGCGGGTGAGTGTGGTTGGCGCGGCGAATCAGATGGGGCGGGGCGGGGCGGCGGCGTAAGGCGGCGCTAGCGCGGATGCAAGTATCTTGCTCAAACTCACGCAGCACCCGAATTGGGGGTTTTTGCTGCTGCTGGGGAGATGATGGCATGTTTGGATTGGATGGGGGAAACATGGGAGTTTGGGGAAGGGTTTGGAATGCGGGAGGAATTGTGTTGACCAGGCTGCTGTCTTCTCTTTCATGGACAACAACTTCGCTGCCTAGGGTTGATGACGGTTCATGGAGTGTGGTAGATTTGGCCCGGGTAACGGGTTTATGGACCGACGAGGCTTGACGTCTTGAAGGCGGCCGTCGCGGTAGGCTGCAGGGAACACGAAAGGAGTGCGGAGAGGGGAATACTGCCGTAGAAGCATTCATGCCTCAAGGATGTGTCCCAATCACTCGCACAGGTACAATGCCAGCCTTCTACTACCTTATCTCGCGGTCCATCCCCGTGACAAGAATGGGATACCAAGCTTCGCGAGGCAAAGACGGACGCGGAAGAGAACCCCGACTCGGCCCCTCGTCCCGGACAACACGGGGAGCAAAGTGGGGACCTTGCCTCCGCTCGCCGAGAACACCCAGAGCGACCCCGAACAATGTCTCCACCAGCATGAGAAGTCCACGGAGAAGGGGAACGTGCGACGTTCAGAGTTTACTTGGCTGGACCCCGCAGAACGGCTCTTATTTGAACCTCACCTCCGTATGATACTTTCCATGGCCTGAGCGTCTCTGGGGATGTAAACGTGTCGAAGCCCTCCCTTTCATTGTCCCATTCTTCTTCACCAACTCCACACTCGTACCCAGACGTGTGTGTACAACCACAGTCTTTCAAATTATTCAAACAGTCTCTTATGGGGTGCGCTGGTAGCGAGCTCGATTGTATCTCGTCGTCTTTGAATGTTGGAATCTTCATCGTTCGCTCGCTCATTTGCGTGGGAATGATCCCGTCACTATTTTCTGACATAGGTCATAATTTGCAAAGTCCATGAACCAACCATCAGCTGAGTCAGCTGCCATCTGCGCCGATGGTTTAGTGGTAAAATTCTCCGTTGCCATCTAGCAGCGTCGGGGAGCCGGGGGTTCGATTCCCCCTCGGCGCAACTTTTTGACCCCTCTCACGATTCTCTCGGGTTGGTGTGTTGTTCTTGATTCTCGAGGGATGGAGGTGGTTATGTCGACCTTTGCGCTCGGGTATGGCGATTCCAGGGCGAATCTTTTTGGAGACACCTTGCACGACGATTCCTATCGGGGGTGATGGGCTGGCAGTCAGTCGTGTTGCGCGCAACACGTTAGCCATCCTCGTACTGAGGCAGTTGGTATCAGCGAAGGTAGGTTGTTGGTGTCGAACCAGTCGGGGAAGTCGTAATGGCTCGCACACACGAGCCGTCGACGCCCCAGTTACCGCGATCAGTGCTGAGTCTGCGACTTCGAAATGTAATAATAGACGTGCTCAACTCGGGTGCCAACATATCGTGTTCGGTGAAGCTATCTGGGGCAGCTTCAGCCGGTCCATTGAAGGTCTTCTGTCAAGAACAGACAGATATGACGATGATTTGCGTCTCTCGGCGAAAAACACCCATATATCGAGCTCTTTCAACAGCAATGGAGGGGCAGACACTCGAACCCCGCCGACTGACTCAACGTAAGGCGGCCAATAATTGACCCCTAATTGCTCGTCCCTCGAGCAGTTGCATCATCTTTTCAAGGAAAACTCGACAACGAGGCATGCGCAATGGCGCGATGGATGGGAAACACGATGGGGAAGCCGCGGCGGCCTCAAGTCACTCGGTATCTTTTCCCTGCAGCCAAGTGGGGGCATGTCAGCTCTGCCAGCCAATGGTGCCTCTCCCCGCAGGAATCCGCCTACCGTTCAGCCCTGGCTTGCGGAGGGTACTTTTATGTCTACTTTGATGTTGGAATCTGGGATGGTCTATAGATATCGAGGTGCTCACAATAGGATGAAACGCTGTATAAAGAAAATACAATTAAAGCTTATGTCATTAAAAGATAGAACTATCAGCATTACTGCGTTTTAAGCAATAGAGGAAGTCAAAATATGATGTAGAAACTGCCTCCCAATGATCAGTGACCTAACATTTAATCCATCCAAAAGGTAGACCATCCCACTGCGGACGACGCACGGGCCACTGAGGCCAAATCGCTGCGCCCCCAGGAAAACGGCACAGGCAGCGCCCATTCAGCCAGTAGGAAAGCTTCTGCCTGAGTCACTGGGTTGTTCAAATCCCCAGGCATCCCTCGCGCATCTCGAATCTGACCTTCTTTCTTTCCTCATCCGACTTACACTTACTCTACCTATCTTCAAACATCGCCTTCATCTTACTGTTGCACGCAAGCTTGACATCGATTCGGATCATCGATACAACCCTTCTCAAGCTTTCTTGACCCCCTCCGCCTCAATACCAATGCGCTGGTTGTAGCAGCCGCTTCGCCCGCCGCCAAGATGGCCCTGCACCATGATCCACCGGTCAACGACCGTCTGGACCAATATGACTACGATGGCGATCCTGGCCGACTCGTGCCTGAACCGCCCTGCACTTGCGCTCTCGAGATTGATGAGCGATCCGATTTGATGCGACTGTCTCTGCACATTGGTTGTGCTTCGGACGGATGCGACGAAATGGATTGCTCGCCGATCACCGAGAACGACTACTCCGACGACGGGGGATGCCATATTGCACCCTCATGGACATCGCCCGTCGACTCCACCATGCTTCCAATCTTGGGATCGCTTCCGAATATGACGCAGAAGGTAGGCTAACAATTTAGAGATTTCATCAACGCTCTACGAAACGTAGGCGCTAACACACCTACCAGTCTCAGTTGCCTGCACATGCAATGACACGTCGGTACCGACGGATGTCGTGCTGCAACCCAGACATCAGCGTCAGTCATCTGTCTCGTCGAGAGACGGCAGAAGACGTCGCGAGATTTGACCTCGCAGACATGGACCGATTTCCTCTTGGGAAATGGTCAATGCTTCAGGGTCGCGAAGATCCAAGGCAGGAAACATTTGGCTTGGGATATGATCTTCCCAGCGCAGCTTGCGCAACTTGCGCAGCCATCGCTTGCCATGACTTCCATACCACGCCTCGGCGCCAGGAAGTCAACAGCATCATGAAGCACCTGTCGGTTGCTGTCTAATATGGTGAAGATGACGCCGTTTATTCGCGCAGGTAAGGCTTCGACTCGACTTACTTTTCACCCTGTGACATGCGACTAACGCTTGCCCCTAGGTTGGCCAAGGACCTGAGTACGTCGTAAAACTTCTCGAGCGGACATCTAAACTTGATGACTCCAGATCCCACATCGCTCACACACAACCAACGCCATTTGTAAACCGCTACGCTCAGCACATTGCCGAGTCCACCACCATCTACGACCACAGCTACAACCACTTTGACCAGCAACCTTCACCTTCGCACACGGAGTTGATCGAAATGTCTGCTGCAACTTCCACGAGAGTTGGCAGACTAGAAGGCGATAACACTACCCACACCGAGATTGACCCCCTCCTCACTACCACCATGGCAGTGACTTCCACCGGCTGGCCCTACGGGGCCCAGCCCGGATGCGCTGCACCCCACGACACAATGGAGACCATGTTCAACCAAGCCTCGCCTCTCTCCGAGCTCTACGAGTCACCGGACGAGATGGCCTGGGCCACATACATTAACGAGGAGATGCTCGCCCCCAGCGACTTCACCATGAGCTACCCCTACCCCACGGACACCAGCTCCCCGGAGGACATCATCAACGACCCCACCGTCCAGTACGACGTCGAGCAGAGCCTCTTCTCCTTCAACGACCCCCTCCCAGACCTCTCGGCGTCGTCGGACTACCTCTCGGGCGATCAGCTCTCCGCCTCCTACTTCGGCAGCGCAAACACGTCTCCCTTCGAGCAGTCTCTCGACTACATCCCCGACGACATGGACTTCCTCCAAGACCCCAGTTCCATGCCCGTCTGGCCCCTCTCCTCCTCCACCGCCTCCCCCCTCCCCACGAGCACCGCCTCTCCGACCTCCCCGGACGGCGCCGACCACCCCTACCGCTGCACCACCGACAACTGCACAAAGACCTTCCGCAAGGAGGCCCAGCTCAAGCAGCACCAGCGCGTCCACCGCAAGTCGCTCGTCTGCACCATCTGCCGCGCCGAGCGCCACACGGAGCACAAGTTCGCCCAGGTCCGCGACCTCGAGCGGCACCTGCAGGCGCGGCACCCCGAGGTCGCGCAGACCGCCAACGTGCGCTCCGAGATCCGCGAGTGCCCGCACCCCGGCTGCGACCACCGCGGGCGCAGGGACAACGTGTCGAGGCACCACGAGAGCAAGCACGGCAAGAAGCTCAAGTGGAAGAGGGGCGTTCCCCACGTCGTGGGTTAAAAGGAGGGTCCTTTTCTCTCTGATGGGTAATGAGAAAACACACAAAAGAGCGATGTGAGTTTCTGGCGTTTATTGATACCTGCATTTTTGATTTTATGACCGGTTCGGTTTGGGATATCTCGGTAGCATAGTGCATTTAGACCAATACATCTCAAAATAACTGCTGGTTCACGTGAGTGAGCGTTGAAGACGAGGGAAAGTTCCTCGCCACGCCTGGAAATGATGCTCATCGCACCATGCATATGGAATTCCTCAAAACCACGAGACCTGCTGCGGCAGACAGACATTGAGGGGTTGGGGCCACATTTGGGTATTCGCAGTGTCCTGCCCCTCCTCGAGACGGGTCAACTCTTTTGCTCTGCGGAGCCATCTTCAACTTCATCACCATTCTCTTGCCAGCTTAAGTATCAGTCTCACCTATTCGCAACTTCAACACGAATCCCCCCACTGCCGCTTCCGTCTTCAGGGGCATTATGTTTAGGGAATTATTTGCCACCTCCCACACCTTCAAATCTACCATCAATAATTTAAAGTGGAACTGTGGCTCTCTGCTACCTAAAGGAGAAGGATCCAAGCATCCACTCAGGTGACAGCAAAAAACGACCGATTTTAAGCGGACATGCTTGTCCTTGCTCTACTACTACCCTCGATGTTAGAAAATTATGTTTTCGGATACCCTCCATCTCCCTGGTGTCTCGTTCGTTTCTTCCCGTCACAAATTTACTTGCCTGTCACCCACCTTGAACACTGTGATAGAGAAAACTAGGGATTATGATCTGTGCGCTGAAAACCTCTTTTCAGGAACCTTGAGGACTGGTAGCGGCCGGAATATCTTTGGGTTAGGGTTACGAAAGTTTCGACTACAAGCCCCTTTTGGTCCACCTCCATGGCTGGAGAAGAGGTACCTCGCCGCCACCAAGAAAAGGTTTGCGTACCTGACCCGAGATAAATGTGCCCCTGAGTCACAAATCCGTCAATGTCCGCTGTATATGGTGTTTGGCCACATTGTGGAACACAGTTTACGGCCCCTGAACGGGCCGTGAGCGGCTCCTGACAAGGCACCGCCAATTCAGGTTACCCACAGTCTTCAGGGGTTGGCTATCTCTGGATTTGTCAGTAAGTTACCAACCTGGCAGTCTGCAATAGCTGTAGACGGCCTTCAGCCACATTGTGGGATACAGTTTACGGCCCCTGGACGGCCCCTGAGAAAGCAAAGCTAGTCCCCATAGGATGAGTCGACAACTCTGCTCAGCTGTTCAGCAAGTGACAATAGCACCTGATCCGTAGGTAGTTTATTCTGTCTTGCGGATGGGCATTTTAACGTCTACTCAACTCCTTCTGTGTGCATCTGTTGCATCTTTTGAAAGTCCCAGCTCTTTGCAGTGCTGTCTCAAATCCTGTTCTATCAAGTGGTCGAGAGGACACTTACGGGCATCCGCTTTCTTGTCAAACTGCCCACAACGACACCTTTCCAGAGACTTTGCAACTGTGTGTGATGGCTTTACGGGCTTTGCCACCTGGCCTGCGGTTTCGGGAGCTCTCAAGTCTGCCAAGTGGCACAATGTCTCACCTCTTCGACCTGAGAACTCTGCAATATGACCAATTCTCCCCACTTTGACTTCAACTACGGGCTTCAACGGCAACTTCACATAGATGGCTGCTATAGATACAACTCAAGCTCGTATACAGCCGCAGAGATTCTGACCTCTTCGACTTCGACGAGCAGCTTCTATGGCACGAAAGTCCTGCAATATGAGTTATCCCACTTCTTTGACTTCACACAAGATGGTACATCGTGTATGGACTCTTAATGCTTGGTAGTGGTGCTTGGTAATGGTGTACGGATGGGTCTGAAAGGTGAGGAGGAGAGAGCTTGCGGCGAGCCTTCAGAATCCTTTAAAATGCCTGCCTCGCTCCCTCGTCCCGGGCTTTCTTTCTTTCCTTCTGTGTCTCACTTCGTTGATTCGTACTCACTCTACTTCTTCACGTCGCTATTTTACAAATCGCTGTTCATCTCGCCACTCACTACTTTACTCTTCACTCTGATTACTCCACTTTATTACATCCTCCAACTATCTATCGTTCGGCTCCTTAGTCGTTCACCATCACTATCGTTCGGCTCCTAAGTCGTTCGGCGTCACTACCTATAGTCCGGCATTCTCATCGTCCGGTTCCTTTCCCACTACACTATATCAGCTCGCATCATGTCTTCTACTACCATGATTGCCAACCGTACCTCCATCGTCCCCGCCAACAGCTCCGTCGTCCGCCACAAGTTAGGCGTTGACATGACCATCACAGCCGGCGGAGAGGTTACCGGTTTCGAGCTCACAGACGCTACCCACAAGACCCTTATTTGGACTGGCTGCGCCAGCACGGTCAAGATTAGTTGGCTTAAGGATGGAGCAAGAGACGTCGCATACCAATATCGGAAGCTTCTCAGCTACCTGGAGACGTTCGCGAAAGTTTCTCACTTCACTCGCCCTGAAGAGTATGACTTGCGCTGTACCACCAAGATCACCCTCGAGAACAGCGACCAAGCGGCGATGGCAGTCAAAAACCTCGCGTACCAATATAAGGACTTACATTGTGTTCAGGCCTTCGAGGCCCGTATTGGAGTACCCCACGACCAGATGAGTACGATTTCTCACAAATTCAACGAACTTCATGTCCTCGCCCTCCGCGACCGAGTGAGCACCGAGCTCGAGCGATCAGAGACCATGGCCACCATCACCGTCACCGGCTCCAACAGACTGGCTGTGACCAACATCAAGAGACAGCTTGCGGAGCTCATCGAGCAGACCGCCATCCTCGACACCACTACCATTCGCGCTCCCAAGATCCAGTCAGAACGTACTTGCATGGCTTGCTTTGACGTCCTCAAACGGCCCGTTCTACCATCTTGCGGACATCAATCAGTCTTCTGCGCCGAGTGTCTGCTCGAGACATACAGAGCCAACCACAAGAAGGGGCCTCTCCGCTGCACCGAGCAGAACGATAATGGAGAGTTGTGCCACCAGCCTATCGACCTCGAGTGTCTCGCCAACAACCTACCTCCAGCACTCTTTGAGGATTTTCTCGACCTGGCCGCCAACGCCTTCGTGGCACGCAACCCTAATCTTGTACGCCACTGCCCCACTCCCGGGTGCCGTCAAGTCTACCAGCCAACACCTAAGACTGAAGGCTCCATGGGCACACCAAAGACATGCCCGGATTGTCTGGTGCGTCTCTGCACTACGTGCGGCCACCAACATGACAACGAGTCCCCGTGTGACTCAATGATAGATACGGACCTCGAGCAAGCCAAAAAGGACCTCGAGGCCCGAGATTGCCCCGGATGCTCAACTCCGATCGTCAAATACGATGGTTGTGACAAGGTTGAGTGTCCAGGCTGCGGTACCTTCATCTGTTGGGCGTGCATGGAAACCTATCCGACCGCCATTGCAGCGTACAACCACATGGTAAAAGATCACGGTACCGTCGGCGAAGGATATATTCTGCACGATGAGAACGGCAATCCCATCCTGCCCGACGATGAGCGGATTGAGAATGAGCTCGCTGAGCTCCAATTCCCCGTCGACGACGAAGATCCCGAACCCGCACAAGATGACGGAAGGGATAGGGGTGAGGGGCGTATGGAGGCGCGCGTCGTACAACAACAACCACAACAAGAACGACCGCTCGCTCAGGATCTTCCCGTCGGCCAAAGCTGGTGGTAGATCCTCGCCCATACGTCCTCCCTTAGTTGTCTCCAACTTTGGGTTTTTCACCACCCCTCTTATACAACAACAACAACACCGTTCCACCAGACCAGGAATGGACCGAGTACGACCTTGCCAAGCAGGAGTATCTCGACGACAACAAGTATTACCTCGACAAAGATCAATATGAGGAATACGGAAAGCGACTCGAGCCCACACAAGACAACAGCCGAGATCGCGGGGAGGAAAGGATGGAGGTGCGCGCAAACAAACAATCACAACCACAACAACCAATGCCGGACGACGCCGCCAACAACTACCACTACAACAATTACGACTCTGACGGAAAGCAATTGATTCCTGACGATGTCACAGGGCGTCCGGCCGCCGCACTCGAGAGCTACCCAGGCAATGCCTCTAGTAGTCTCTCACACCCATCCTCCCTCTAACAGGTTTTTTTACCCTTCGGGGTTTTTTGCCTTTTTTTTTTTCCCTTCGGGGTTTTTTTTTCTTTTTTTGGCCAACAATACAAACCACAACCACCACCGCCAAACAAACGTTCCCTAATCTATGCAATGTGATGTGACGATGCTTGTCATTGTGTAAATGTGCGTAGATGTGTATTATATGCTTCCATTCCGTGATGCGCCCCACTGGATAACCGGCGCCTTCCATTGTGGCTTGCGTCTTACTTTGCCGCAGCAACCTTGCATGATCACGCCATCCAATTATTGAAGCTATTCAGAAAAGATTGGCTCTCCCACACTGTGCCTCTGGCCTACCCCTCTCTCTCCTGTCGCCCTCTCCTGTCGCACTCTCCTGTCGCCCTCTCCTGTCGCCCTCTCCTAACCACCTTCCCTGCCGTCTCCTCTGTCGCTCTCTCTGCTATCGCTCCAATGATGAACCTTTGTACTTTGCCCCTGACTATGTAATTCCTTTGCGTGAAGTTGCATGTAGATATTGAATACTAAGCCTTCGTGAGATATGCAAAACCATGGTATGTTACAGGTCTGGCACGATCGCAGCCCGCCCAACTTCGAACTACGATCTGAGCCTTGAGTGTGGCTGCTTGGCGCTTTGATCAGTCCAATTGTTTGTGAAGAATCTAAAGGTCACAGGTGCAAGGTGCAACTCAATGATGGCCCAGCAACCCGGAGGATAAAAGCCCAAGAGGTTCCTACATAGAAGGCCAATGAAACGCGCCTGTGAAGTCTAGCTTTCTAAAAAACATCACACCTCCGCCTCACGTGCCTCTCGTTCTCAAACCCTGTATGTTCTCCAGGTAAGGTGCCGCGTTTTTGGTCCAGCACTCAGGGTTGCAGAGAGAAAATCTCTGCTATCGTTCTCAGCCTATCCACCTCTGTTCAGGTAACTGCTGTACTCAGTATGTTCAAACTACTTTTGTCTCGAGTCAGAGACATGGTACACACGCACGACAACCCTCGTGGGGGTAACACCTTGTCTCCAAATGAATCGTCTCTGGAGAACGGTCAACTATGCCGGGATTGTCGTCGGGGGCGATGCGCCAAAGGGGATGACTGCGAGTTCAGTTATGACAAGAGCCTGTTCAAGGGGACTGCCATGAACCTCTGCACATTTTTCTCGAAAGGTTTCTGTCGCTTTGGGGAGGAGTGCAATATCCCACACGTTGACATGCCGTTGGACCAATTCGCACGTGTTCGGCCTACGAAGGCGCGTTGTCGCAGGGGAAGTGAATGCCGTCTTCCCCATGGGGACCCAGAAGAGGACACTGTGAGTAGCTCACTGCATTTCAGTTGCATCAGACTATCGCAAAAGCTCACTTGATCGTACAGCTGTACACCGACACCGATTCGCGTACACGACAGTTGCTCGGAGCGTCCTTTACGTTTGGCCCCGGGGCATCGGTCTGTGATGTTACTCTACCTGATAACTCGACCACCGTCATTCTCAACATTGTGGGACCGTGCAGTACGACGGCAATTCAATTGCTTTTAGAACAAAGGGGCTTCCATGTCCCTCTCACGTCCATTAAACTGAGATCCCAAGACTCGGGGCTCAAGTACGCTGTTGTCAACGGTCGAGTCCCTGGGTTTGCGGAACTTTTGCGCGCGAACTTTGAGAAGAAGAAGGCACACGGCGTGTTTTCAGGGATTAAAGTTGTCACCGAAGAGATAAATCCGATTTCGGAAAAAGAGGACTTCCACGTTGTGACTAGTCGGAAAATTAAGTGCTCTTGGCCAAAGGACCGCGGCGGATCTGACTTTGCATGCGAAAAAAACGAGGTTGCAATGGTGGAAGCTATGCTGGCAGCCGTCGGCGAGTTGGAAACACGGCTTTCTCTCGGGTCAGACGACGAAGATCGTATCTTGGACTCGGTGGCTTGGTTTAAAGGAGCAGAAGACGCCAAGCGAGCAGCCCAGACCTTTGACGGAACCCCTCTCCCTTTTAATTCGTCTGGGCTACTCAGTGTGAAGCAAATTCACTCCACGAGCTACAACCTTTCGACCCGAGTTTTCCAGAGTCTTATCGACGAGGTCACGAACCGTCATGACCACAGAGATTCTCAGGTCAAATTTCAAACATTTTGCGACACGGAAGAACACACCATACTGTCGTTGGAGAGCGACAATCTTGATGCTCTGGAGAGGAAACGACAAGCATTGGATGGTCTATTTGCTGGTAAGGTCATTTCCTACTCTGCGGACACCGACAGCCCGGTCTGGAGTCCGTATTTTGACGATAAGGCCTTCCGAAACCGGATCCTCGATCAGATTGCAAAGGGCTGTGGTGTAGCATTTCACTGTCTCCCAGTCAGCAAAGAGATCAAGCTATACGGCCCGCCTGAAAATATCAAAAAAGCCAACGAGGCTCTTTTCCTGAGTTTCGAAAACAATTTCACAGCCGTCCACCCTATTACTCTCAACGCAAATGCCTTTAATTGGGCCATCAGAGGAGGTTTCAAGGCTCTCTCCGAAGCCCTTGGTCAAGACACTGTGAGGTATAAGTCCGTCTGGCCGCCTTCCCAAATTAATATCGCAGGACCAGTCTCCTCTTACGAACGAGCCATAGAAATGATTTCTCAGAGGTCAACCTTCAGAGACGCGGTTGAGAGACCATGTTCAGTGTGCTGGACCGAGCCTGACCAGTTCCTGACGACGACGTGCGGTCATGTCTACTGCTTGGACTGCTTCCAGAACTTATGTCGAGCAGGAGATACAAATCCTGGAGGCTTCAAAGTGGCCTGTATAGGCAATAATGGCCTTTGCAGATCCGTTATCGGCCTTGATGAACTAGCACAATATCTCCCACCAGTAGCGTTCGAACAACTCCTCGCGTCATCAGCCGAATCATATGTCAACAAGCATCCCGAGAAACTCCGGTACTGTCCTACGGCAGATTGCGGATACATTTACCGAGTCAGTCCCACCGAGAACCCAAGATATTTTGAATGTCCGAGCTGCGGCAAAGCGACATGCCCCTCATGCCACAACTCTCATCCCGCAATATCTTGTGCGGAACGTCGAGACAAGATTGCCAGAGGAGACGAAAAGAAACTGCGAAAGTGCAAGCGGAAGCTTGGGGTCAAGGACTGCCCCAAATGCCACGCGCCTATCGAGAAGTGGTATGGCTGCGACCACATGAGTTGCAGATGCGGAGCACACATCTGTTGGGTATGCCTTGCCAACTTCGAAACAGGCGATGAGTGCATGTTGCATTTACGTCAGAGACATGAACTGATCTGACATGCTTTGTTTGGTCTGCAACAACTTTGAAGACTGGTGCGTCGACAAAACTCAACGTCATTATGCTTTTGAATTGTTGGACTATGGCTTTGAAAGAGAACAACGACAGCAAACTGTGAATAGAAAGCGGTTGTTGTGATGAAAGACCTGGCGCCTTATTCTCGCGAAAGTTTTTTAACATAATCAAGAACGTCAAAGGGAGCCTGGCAGCGTTGCTATTCTTCATTTTGTCAATAAAGGGTAGCTGTTATTGTTGTACTACAAAGGAACGAGAGTTGAGACCCCCAGAGAGAACAACCGGAATTGTTCAGAGGCACCCCAAGCGAAATCTTTGGATTGCCTATTTATTCCAGACACATCTTCTAGCTTTTACCATCTATCTCAATTATACAATCCAGCAACAACACAAAAGCACGGTAACCACTTCAGTTCCTCCTGTTAAAATAAGTCTAGGTGTCTTCTAGAAAGCGCGCCCTCAAAAATTACTAGCCGGCACGCAATACTTGATACATATCGAACAGTTACAATGCCTGTCAAATCTGCGTATGAAGGACTCAAGCGCTTCTTGAAGGGCGAAAAGGAGGAAGTTGACATTGCGAAAATTCGACTGGCGAGAAAGCCGACGTGGCCCACTCCCCCTCCATCTCCCCGTTTGCCCCCTCCTCCCCAACCTGTCGTGGTTGATGCTCCTTGCCACGACGGAAGACCTTGTTTTGCAGTATGGGCCTACACTGACAAAGACGCGAGGTCGCCCGCAGGACCCGATCTTTCAAACATACCTCTTTGGGTCATCCGAGTTTATCACACCTTGCCCGAAGCCGTGTACGCTTACCACGTCCGAGACACGGCCGAGAAGATCTACACACTTGCGCACACGAGATTCGACGCCTTGGACAAAGCGTACCTTGAGCACCCCAAGTACCGGTACCGCATTGAAGTCATCGGGCTGCCCCTTCCAGAGGACACCAGCGATAGCGAGCGCATCGAGCGGTGCATGGAACACCACCGCGCAGAGGTTGCAGCGCGCCGGACCACAGGCAGTGTGTTCTTTATCCAGACAGCCGTCCAAGGTGACTACAAGCATAGGATCGCGATTCGCCGACTGGACGACGATAGACTGGGTGAGATCTACAACGGCGGTAACTTTTTGGATGTGTCCTTCGATCCAAAAGCAATGGTAAGACCTAGTGATCCCGAGATGTCCCAATATAGCTCGTCGCGGTTCGCAACTGCCAATGTAGGGAGGGTGTTTGGAACTTTTAGGCAGTCGATCCGTTGGTTTTATGATCGATACGTGGACAACGGCACAATCTACCGTGACATGGAGACATGGAAGTTGGAAGCAGCGAAGGGAAAATGATGGGGTATTCTTAGAGTCTGCTGGTAATCGAGTTCATCGTACAGATTGGTTTTTCTGGAGAATCAAGAGGTAGCAGTGATAAGTTTAATTTCGAATGTTTGCTGCCACTGAGTCCATGCAAGTTCCAAATTGCACCGCCTTTCCTCATTGAAAAGTTTTCCTCGGGACGAGCGAGAATAAGAATGGGGCAAGTACGCCGCCTGCATTTCACTGATGTTTCCCTAAAAGTTTGTCTACTTGAACCGCGTATATGTGCATGCATGACCACCCACTTTACATGGCTGCAGATCAAACGGCGATTTGAAGGCTTTGGGCCAGGAGACCACAGAAAAGTGCATGTCTTGGAGGAATCTAGAAACATGCACACGAACTGCAGTGCCTGTCACTTTGATCCTCGTGATTCAGTGACTGCAATATTGAAGCTAGCTTCAGCACATGTGTGGGTTCTATTTATCGCATGCGAGCAAACACGCCCATAATCCTAACCCAACGGATGCAACTTGCGTCGCTACTTGGCAGCCGCGGAAGGCATGTTGTAAGCCAGGTCGGCTTCTTCCGCCCGCGCAGCAGCGGAAGGCTTGTTGTAAGCAAGATCAGCGTCCACCTCAGCCCGTGCAGCAGCGGATGGTTTGTTATAAGCTAGGTCGGCGTCCACTTCAGCCCGGGCAGCAGCAGAAGGCTTGTTGTAAGCTAGGTCGGCGTCCACTTCAGCCCGCTCAACCGCAACAGGCGCTTCCAAGACCATGTTTTGACCTGTGCAGAGAGTTAGAAATTGGTGATTCTGTGCAAGAATTGAACTCATTACTTACCTGGCATAGGAAGAGCATTGACATAGGCCAAGAGGCCAGATACGAGAACGATGACGGAGACCTTCATTTCGGCGCCTTTTAGCAATTCAGGCAATGGTTGACAACAACGCGTGATGTGCAAAAAAGTGAGTTGTGGGCCTTGAGAGTATGAAATGAACAAGTCCCTGCGGTCTGATAACTACCTTGACTGAGATGGGTTTATATATGCATCGGCCATACGCCTACTGCGCCATCTCTTCGAATAACTTGCCCAATTTTCACCTTCCAGTCCTGTTTGATCGGTTGCACCTCTTGTGACTGCAAAATGTCGGCTAAAGCAGAGTCTGGCCAGACTCACCGCGTGTTTGTTGCGAAGGGCATATGCCCCGCTTTCTCCCATATTCCCAGTCACCTGCCCGACAACGACATTGAATGTTTGCCTCTCGGTTGATGCATTTTGATTAACTTGCAGTAATCTCTTGCTGCTTTGAGCTCGAGTTGCATGAATATCTTGTCCTATCACTGTTTTCCGCCTCTCAAACGCATGGGTTTTCTTCCCGCTCAAATCAGATTTCGCCTCCAAGAGTTTCCAACCGAAGCGATGCTTCACAACTCTGTTGGATCTGTTTCTGTAACTACACCCAACAGCATCTCTTTGCCTTTCGCATCGGGGTGTTTACCGTATTAGATCTAGTTTACAGAGCCTCTTTGTATCCATGCAGCAAATATGTTGCGATTACTGCGAGGAAAGGCGCGGAGTGTGGTTTTCCCCTGTACAATCCATGTGAGCTGAGTGCTTCTCCCCGTTTGTCAAATTGGGCCCGTTTTTGCGGCGCGGCAAGAGCGCTTCATCGAAATATCACCACGGTGTGAAAAGAAAAGCCATGCTCGTGGGATCTGCACTTACAATCTTTTGCGAGCACACGTTGGCCCGCATAAGAAAGAAGGGGTCGTTCATCCTCGACGTTCTCTGCTGTCTCAACACCAGACCTTCTTCAAATTCCAGTTTCTGGGGATTGTGGTCTCCTTCCTTCTTCAACAATATTCGTTCATTTTCTTGTTCATTCCGATCAACCTTCGGCGTCTTCGGCGACTCAACATGCTTCCTGTAATCGAGAAGGCGACATACAATCGGGTACCCCCAAGCGATGAATCCAGCGACGGGTCTTACAGCGAAGAGACAACGTTGATGCAGGAGGGCCTTGTCAAGAGAAGATCTGGATCATGTTCACTTCTTTTTCAAGCCCTTTGTGGTTTGGCTGTTCTGATCTTGTATTCGGCGGCTCTGATCCAGATATCTGCGCACACATTCAAACCTGGTCGTATGCAGGGCACCAGGGCCATGGATTGTCAGTTCACACTGCGCACCATCAATTCCGTTGCTAACCGGTCATTCAGCTATCGTCGATGGATTCCTTCAATATGAATTTCGCGAGTTCTACCAATTCGAGAAGGGGCTCCAGAACGCCACGTATTTCACTGAGCCTGATGCGGAGGTGGACAGGAACTGGCATAATATTCTCGCATGTGAGTTGCCACCCAAGCCTCTGAATCATTTCATTCATAGGTTGACGGACGTTCTAAAGATCAGAACATTCGCATTCCGAAACATAAAATGGAAGAACTTGGTCGAGTGGACGAGGGTATCGAACTACCAGGAGGTGGTTACTTTGGATCTATCATGGTCTACCATCACCTGCACTGCCTGGTATGCTTGCTTCAAATCATGTCTCAAATGTGCAAATCGACTAATTCGATCCGTTAGAAAAACCTGTATCACGCCCTGCACCCAGAATACTACAATTTCAGCAAGTTGACAAGTCACGAGCAAGAGAGGCTCGCCGAGCACAACGGTGAGAAACCCCAACTCCGGCTCCTAGCTTTCGTGGCTTGCTTAAGATCATTCTTTTGATGAAACTTCCAGATCATTGTCTCCATATGCTTCGAGAGGCAGTGATGTGTCAAGGTGACACAACGCTGATCACCATGAAGTGGAACTCCACTGGTCTTCGGCCGATCGGAAACTTGACCAGTCCCCATGAATGCGTCAACTGGGACAGGCTTATGGAGTGGGTGGCTCCCAACTCCTTCGATGCTCTTGCTGATGGCATGCTGGTACATCCGACTTTTGGTATGGACCCTGATCCCTTCTCCGATGTTAGCCACAATGTGAGACGCCGAACTGACACAATAACAGGACCGGTATTCCGCGATCGCCAATTAGTTGAAGCCTCCTGAAGGAAATTTATTTGGAATTTTGCAGTAACAGATTTAGGATGATGCGTGAGGAGTAGTAGTGTGCAGAGGACTGGGAATTACAGACTTGAGATTCCGTGATAATGGAAGTGCACTTGGAATTGCTTCAAATTTGTTCGTCGTAGATACAATACTAAGTCGTAACATGGATTTTGACTCAGCGTAAATAGCCTTAGCTAGATCGTTGACATATCCATGTGCTGCAAGATCATGTGCTCATACATCATCATTTGTCCCAGATAACTCAGTGCTGCACATCAGCGGCGTGCTCCTTGCGCGCAACATATTCCGGAACTCCCGGAGGCTTTCCCGTGTTCGCACCCCTCTTAGAGTGCTCTGTTCTCTCCTCCCTCTGCTGCTGGGCCATCATCTCCTTGGCTTCATGCTTGCTTGAGGGGTCCTCTGCTTTACAGTTAGTACTGGGATACGTAGGTAGTCTGTCAATACATACTGTGAGTGTCGGCTTGAGAGTTGTTGTATTGAGGCATTATGATGGCTCGAAGGGTTTGTGTAAACAGGGTTAACTGTAACGATTTGAGGGCGGGAAGTTGGATCGCTGAGTGGAACTTTGGTCGAATGTGATAGATTTAATGTGAAGGATTTCCTGGAACTATCGTTGTAAAGACTATTTAAAACCGTCTCGATAGTCTCGATGTGTCATCAAATTGATCTCATTGTAATCTGAGTGACGCGAAGTTGCGTAAATATATCGTCACTGACGCCCCGGCAGCATGCGCATCGTCGGTTCCCACTTGACGTCGACAAATGGGTCGAATTGTGGGCAATGGGAAGCCACCTGTCTGATAATCGCATTCCAACCCCACACATCTTCGATCTACAACCGGGCAAAAAGCTCCGTCAAAAGACGTGTACAAGTTTGAACTTTCAGGGAATATCTAATGTTTTGCTGCTAAGGAGGCCAGTGGAACCTGGGACTTCGTCTCGGTCGCCGACTCCTGTCTCGAAGCACGTGTGATTTTGGCTGAGCAATTTGGCAGTCTACTATCTTCACAGCATATGGAGTCAATTGAAAACGATTCAGCTGTTATGTTCGGGCCTATCGGCGAAGCTACTATGTACATGGAAGGCGCCCGGTCAGAGAAGCATCAGCCAACAAGACCACGGCGCAGAAGTAAATACACGCTGAAGGGATAAGCTCCCCAAGACTCCACGCTCAAGTAATATGATGCAGAAAGATCGACCAGGGACCAATGATCAAGCCGCTTAGCAGGCGGACAGAGAAGTCTGGCCCTTGCAGTTGGCAGTGGTGCTGACCTTGCTGCTCTCGCCAGAGCCCTTGTTGACACCCTTGTACTCCTGGCAGACCTTGGAGACACTGGAGCCGCAGGTGTTGGAGATAGTGGCGACGTCACCGTAGTTGGAGTTGATACCGACAAGCTCCTTGACGCTCTTGGCCTTGACGTTCTTGACGATGACGTTGCGGGGGCCGCCGTTGTTGGTGCAGTCACCGCAGCCGCGGTAGAGCTTGCCGGCGGTGACGACAGTGAAACCATCGATGGTGACGGTGCCGCGGCCGTTGTGCTGGACGACCTTGTCGGCGGCGTTCTGGGCGCCACCGCCCTGGATGAGGACGTCACCAGTGCCGAGGGCGGAGATAGCGTCTGCGATCGGGAGTTAGGTGAAGGGCTTGGTTACAAGTCTCATGGAGAGCATCTTACCTTCGCAGACGTCGCGGAACCAGACGTTCTTCAGGGTGCAGGCGCCCTTGCAGTGGACGCCCTCCAGCTGGTTGACACCGATGATGACGTTGCTCAGGGTGGCGCCATTCTCGAGAATGAAGACGGCGGAGTCGCTGCCGGTGTCGGCGTCGGTGTCACAGGCGCGACCACGATCAAACTCCTTGTTGCCCATGTCCTTGCTTCCAGAGATGACACTGGGAGCAGAGAGGGAGACGATGGAACCGCTGCGGGTGGGGATGTTGAGAGTCTGAGCCGCGGTGAGGCCGGCCAGCATGGCGGAGACGAGAACCTTGGCCTGCATTTTGTATGTGATTTGCGTGATGGAGCTGAGTGGAAGATATTGGGAGGCAGCTGTGTGTTTGTCCTGAGTGAGCGGGATGAGGAGGGAAGACGGATGGGAGAATGATGAAGATTCACATTGTACTTATAGTTCCGTCAGAAATCCCACAGGTATCGCGATAATCATTCTCAGGAGTCACCCAAGATACTACGGCTGTAAGGGAGTTTCACATAGACCGTAAGAGTCTAGACTGTACCACTGATTGGGAGCAGCATCCCGTGATCCCGTGGCCTATCATCATAGCAAGTTGATCAGGGGCGAGGAATGATAAATCTCCTTGGTGGAATTACCAAACATCATCACCGCCATGTTCCAGAAGAAATAAACATTGGGGGACGCCCCAGGCTCGGACGCTCGCCCGAGGACGTGGGTGGGCTGGCGCAAACTCCAAGGAACCCTTGATCGTCATGTACCGAACTTCTCAATCCGTGGCCAATGATATCTCTGACCTTGACAGACGCCTACCTAGTCTCGGTAGTCGAAGCTGGTCCTTGCCTCTTCTGATAGGTGGATGCATCTTGTCTTTTCCGACTTCACCTGTACTCCTGGCGTCCATGAGGGCGATGTTTGAGCCCCGCAAATGGGGCGGTCGCGTGGTGGACAGACACCAGTAGTCCTTGAGCCTCCCATGTCCAACGGCGACAACTCCCAATAAGAACAGACGATGGCCGCACTCTGGGAACTTGTAAGGCTTGGCAGATAATCTACCCAATACCTCCAGGAAGGTGAGAGCGACTTTCCAGCACAGCCCCCTTCGAGGTGTGGTCGAGGGTGTCTTTGGGGGTGGAGACTGCCGGAACGGGCTCTGCACCAGAGCCTCTACTGGTATGGTTGGATTACCACAAGAGGGTTCTGAGGAACGGCGACAGGGGTTTTCTTTCGATCTCCAATTCTATTGTCTAGACCGTCCGATGTTGTTCAGGGCCCCACGTTCGATTCAACGCCAAGATCTCAGAGACCAGGGTCGTCCTGCTGCTAGTGGCAGAGGGACACGGGAGATGGCTATCGTGTCGGTGGTATCAGTGAATCGGCAAGCGAATCACCAAATGGATCCAGCCGAGGAGGTGTTGTCGGTCGGATAGGTTCTCCATAAGGAAACACCTTAGTCCGAGGTGTGGAAGCGATCTGACTGGGAGTCTGTAAAGGGCAGGTGAATAAACCAAAGTCCAACAGCATGTTGATGCCATCAGGCAACGCAGGCGTGATAGGCAACGTGACTGGACAGACGCTAGAACAACCCACCTATGCAGCTAAAACTGAGCCTAATCAGCATATGCACGCATGCCAAATCACCTCCGATGTCTGGTGAAGAAAAGGAGAACAGCCGTTGACAACCTCACCAAGCCGCAGGTGCCCACTGAAAAAGATGATGGGTCCGGGGTACTGTCTCGGTAGATCATTGTCACCTACCGGCTGATGTGCTCCGACCCCATGGTTGGGCGGTTTCGGCGCTTGCCTCCGGATTGGGGATGGGCGCGAACGGCGTTACGAAAAGCCGTAAAATTGGACGGACGATGCCAAGACCTTTGAGTCAAGCATGCAGGTTTAAAAGGGGACAGGCGCCGCGTTTTTGCTGCACCCCAACCCTTGCCAAGACTCACCAAAAGATGATAGCCCATCGGCCAAGACAAGAAGAAACGTGAGCTTTCCGTGTCTTGGCACGCGCCAACCCCCTTTCGATGCTGTTGGTGGCAATGGAGACGGCAAATCATTGATGGAAAAAGGAGATGTCCATTGATCAGCGGCCTTCAAACCAGACTTATTTCGACGGATTTGATGAGGGTGAGACAGCTGGGAAGGATGTTTGACAACAACGACACCAAATGGTTTGCAGATGACAACACTTGGTGAGACAACATGTTTGGATTTAACGGACAACACTATGGTTCAAATGATCCCGTATGACTTTGTGAGGCGAATGTTAATTCCTTCGACTTGGCGGAGAGCGCTCCCCGAACAAGGGCTGTATGTTCTGTTTTGGTTACCTCGCGGAAGACCGCTACCAGTACCAGACAAATCCAGTGGAGGGTCTCAGGCGAATCTTAATTCATCTAAGTCCCAGCTCCGCAACAGCTCAAGTTGTCAATTAGGTAACAGGAAGTCTTATTGCTATTACGAATAACATGCCGCAAGCCACTTAGCGCTGCCAGCTCGTACGATGAGCTTGCGTACTCCAAAGCCCCTCCATTTACAGCCCTACAAGACTATCGTGAGAAAGGCTCTTACACCCGCGTTCCGTGGACTGGGGAAGCCTGCACCGACATTACTGACATTTCAGACGCTCGCAACAGCCCCGGTTGAAGTCCAGGTGGTTGAGTCAGTTCCTTCGACGTGAGCGATGCGCTTATTTCGACGTTGTGCGAATGCCAAGCTTTGCAGATTGAAAGTCAAAATCCAGACCAAAACACGGGAGTGCGTGCTTGGCGTGGATCATGGGGACTAAGCTCGCGATAGTTGCGGCCCGAGATGCCACGACTCACGAGTCATTTGGTGGTGTGTGCGTGCCGGTGAGCTAGTTTCTTTACCGAAACTCAGAAACGAATGACGATTGAGAGATGAAGGGCCGTTGAATACGAGTATTTTTGAGTAAAATTACCCATTGTTTCGTGAACAATGGTTACGAAGGGGCTTTCAAGGCTACACGGGGCTCGAAATATTCAAGTCTACCCCCTTCAAGGAAGGTAACCAGAAGTAACTGACGATGACTGACTACTTTTCCGGTAAATCTCCACAGCGTTGAGTAGACATGGAGACATTCAGTCATTCTCAGGGATGCTGTGGCTAGTGGGATACCGTCCGGACCTCACGGCAGCGGTGTGGTCGCCTACGGTCGGTCCCGACGGGCTTCATGAAAGATTTTCATATCACATCTCAAATGGCGGCTCGGAAGTCTCGGAATTGATTCATCTCGCAAATGGAATTTAGTGTGACCGACCAAGCAGACCAAGGGTTTTCCCAGATACATGTAAAAGCTCGCAGCTAAATAATAGCCAGCAGAGTTCAACATTCTCCCGTGGCACTTCCTCCCACGCAAGGAGTGCCGGTACACTCAAAGCCAAGCGGGCTCTCAGCGTGCCCACAGAGGTAAGACGCCGCAGCTGTGCCATTGTCGAAGCGAAGGTTGACATCGAAGAGCCCAATGTTGGTGCATGGTGCCACAGCGCTGCACTGTAGACTCGCGATTCGGGAAGACTTCGTCGTGCCAGACATACCATCGACGGTGATGTCGCGAATTTGGAACTGCGAGTTGGTGCAGTTGCCCACGCCGGGGGCACCACTGAAGCGGGTGCACTGCGAGATAGCTACGGCGGCGCCGCGCATGCCCTTCACCGTCAAGTTCTTGAATGACATATCCGATGCAACTAGTTATAAGTCAGCTCTGTTCACATATCAGTGGGGGAAGACGCACAGCCAAGTCCACCACCGCCACCGTTAGGAGGGTAGCCGTTCTGATCGTCAGTCCAAGTCTTGAAGTATACCTGTGAGTCATGTTAGATGAGCAGGGTGGCGACGCGTTGTGATGTAACTGACGGCGTGAAGGGTGTTGTCGAAGTAGCAGTCCCTCACATCCAACCGCTCGATAGTCTCGAACTGATCGTTGTATTGCCCAATGCTTCCCAACGCAATGCCCAGTCCGTTGTAGAACTTCGAGTTTGTAATGCTGACATCGGTGCTATTCGCCTTCAGTGAAATACTGTCATCTCCACTGTAGACAGTCCAGTTGTTGAACTTGATGTTCGATGATCGGATTGTATCGGCTCCATCCGTGTTGGCTGCAAATATTCGAGGTCAGGCTCTTCTTCACAACTGATACATTCATTCCCTGATCACTTACAACTCTGATAGCGGTTGCCCGTGTTGTTGACAAGTATACTGTCAAGCTCAACGTTATGAGAGTAGATGATGGACATAGTCCTGCTAAACATCAGCCAATTGAAAACTCCGATACAGGAGGTCGCATCTCTGATAGAACACATACCACATCTGACTCCTAAGGAAATTGACCCCATGAACGACGGAGTTCTTTAGCCCATTGAGGGTGAGGGCGTGCGGCCGGCCAGGATAGTTGGACGTGTTGGGTTGCTGGCGAATCCACTGGTACCAATAGTCACCGTTGCCATCAAAAGTTCCCTTTCCGTGGCCATTGATGCGCACGTTATTGCCGCCGAGGATGAAGGCCGTAGATTGGTTCTGGTAACCGACGTCCAGTGAATTTGCGAGCCAGTACGAGATGTTCGTACTCCACTGAGAGTTGCGACCGGTCTTGTGTTAGCATTTGAACGAGACACGGAGAAATTGTCTTGTATGGCGCTTCTTGGCACATCATCTACACTGCAGAGGATGCATAGACAGGAGAGGATTGATTGTGGCGCTTTGCTGTGCAACATACCAGAAGAGTGCCTTGGAGGTCAATTTCAACATCATCCAACCAGGTGACGTTCATGACCGAGTTGACATAGTAAGTCGTGGGCTCGAAAATGACCTTCCCACGTCGACCGCATGTCTTGAAAGCATCAAGGATGGCGGGGGCGTCATCGGTGGCATTGGTTCCGCTGGCCTTGACGGTGCATGTTTTCTTTCCAGTTCCATCAATCTGTTGCGCTGAGGCGAAGGCCACGAGGCCGTAGAGCACCCCGGCCGCCAAAATATGACGCATGACTGAGTTGATTGGAACAGTCTGTAGCCTGGAAAGGTGTCGCACGAGAGACGGCTGGGAGTTGTCAAGCTGAAACCTGTTGGATTGGTCAAAAACAAGCTTATCTGTCGACTCAGCTAAAGACGCGGGTGGCATCCCACCGGCATCTGGTCCCTGGTCGCGACGGTGCGGTTGATTGAATACTAAATGGACATCGTCAAATCGGTGTTTTCCCAGCCGAGTCAGTGCGGCAGAATGGTCGCATTCTTGCCCGGTTGTCCTGCACTTGGATATTGAATACGACTATTTGGGAAGTCAGAGTTGCATCGTGGTGAATTGTGCCTTCGGTGTCGTGGATTTCGCACGAATCATGAGCTGAGTCGTGGATGATCCCCATTTTCTTGACCCGATCGTATCTGGTCGATCGGCTCGCCGCCGGGGATGCGGAGGCGAAGGATGCGGGGAAGATCGTGTTAAATTTTGCTTCGGGACAGCTGCGGGGAAACGTAGCCGGAGTAATGATTTCATTCAAGGTTGAATTGCTCCTCCTCATTAACCCGACGCGAGGAGACTGAGTGTCAATCTGGGCTTGAAGCAGAAGAATTGTCATCTAAGATATTTCACGAAAGACAGCTCCATGTGAGCACGTGAGATGTAACGATAGTACAGCAGAAAGACAAGTTAACAATTCATTTAGCTAAGAAATCCTAAACTGCAATTTCACTCATTCATCTAAATCCTAATACTCACAAGACCTATACTTTCATTTCCTATTGTCCAGCTGTATGCAGCTGTCTTTGAGCATCGAAAAGTCTCCTTTGCATTTCCAAGTCTTGTTCGTACCGGATATGCTCCTGTACTCTCCGCGCAGCGAAGTCTTTGATTGCTTGAATGCCTTCTTCCTTTTTCCAGGCAGGGGAGGGCCATCCGAACTTTCGATAAAGGTGTCGGATCCATAGACCATCTTCATCTGTTCCCATAAAATATTTCGCCGGTGAGCGCGGCTCGCCTTGTTTCTCCATCTTCTCCGCGTCATACGGATACTTTTGGTCGGTTAAGCCCCCCATCGTGTCGAAGCCTGGGGAGAAAACCCTGTCTAAACTCTGGAACTCCTCCTTTTTGCTCTCAAAGTAGTCTTCAACTGGTTCATCCCAAACTCCCGCGTTGCATCTGAGAATTTCTTCATAGACACAACCAGTCAATGTGTCCAACAGGAAAGTAACACCGCAACTCTCGTAACCAGATGTGATGGCTATTTTGTGCTTAGAGATTGGCTTCTCATCGAAGTAGTCTTCCATGATTTTACCGGGGTACTCATCACCAGGCTTCCAAGCAGAGTAGTCGATGACGTTGGACTGGCGGTCGATGTTGTATTCATTGTCGCGGTATTCAAGGTTTTCGACGTACGGTAAATGGCGCAACACTTCAATGGCCAAGTCTGATTTTCCGAAGGGACGGAAGTTTTCCAGGGTGATTTCCGGCCACCCGGTAGAGGGAGGCTGCTTAACAGCTCTCTCGGGCAGATGAAGAGAGACGTGGAAGTCGTAGTAGTCGTAGAAGGGAGTGATCAGGCGTTTTCTCAGATTGACTAAAATTATCTCCTCATCCACAAGACACAGTTCGTTGATTTCGCTGCTGGTCTGTCGCAGAGAAATGTAGGTCCAGTAGTCTGGTATTTCACGGAGGACTTTTAACTGAATTTCGCGTGGGAGAGTAAGGAAGGGAAAAGGGCAGTCGCAGCATTCGCAGTCTGACTCGCAAGGCTCGTCATCGGACTCGTCGCGAATCGAGTCGCTGTTCTCAGACATGATTGTTTTGCGAGTCAAGAATGCGATGAAAAATTGACTGCGAGCGAGCAAGGGAGACAATGAAGCTTACATTTGCTGGAAATGCTGGAAATATTTAAAGGGGGTTACACTCGCTGTGCCGCTTACTAGAGGCGCTGTGGCGCTGCATGGCAGCTGCTGCCTAGCCTGATGCGTACTTGGCGGTCAGTCAGCTGAAGCCGAGCAAATCGCGCTTGATTATTGACACATGAAACGGTCGCGAGATTCAAACTAAGTTGATTATGGCAGAAAGAACAATCAAGGCTTGGCAGTTCAATACCTTAGGTGTTGTGTTGTTCATCTAGCCACTAAGTGGAGAGAATTTCAGAATCATGCAACCAGGCCATCAGATGCTGTTCCATTCGAGGCCCAAATACAGTGACAAACTCTCATCAGTCTTCCAAAATTCCCAGCCCACACTATGCGTCTTAAGTAAGTGGGCACTACAGGCCTGTTCGGTAGGAAAGAACTTGAAACAAAAGTTACAAATTCTAACTCCACAGTTAGGGCACAGAAGGTAATCTGCCTCAACCACCTCGACTTCGCCGAGACAAGCCCAGCATATGTGTGGAGGTGGGCCCAGTCCAAGCCAGTACCTTTTCAATATGCAGCTGACACCAGGGTGGTCTGAGTGACATCGACGACAGAAGCTCTGGTGACAATCGCTACAGTCGAACCGTGGAGGCGAGTTTTCCGGTGATATTCTGTAGAGCTGAGTGCAGCCCGTTGTAGGACAGTGACGGAGATCATTCGGTCGACTAGAAATATAAGAAGAAAATGACGATGTCAACACATCTTCAAAGGCAAAAGATGAGAGAAGACACTGCAATTCTGGCAGACTGAAAGTAGCTGAGCATGAACCAGCTTGGCCAGGGCAGCGAAGAATGCTGATGCTGTCGCGGGCCGTGATGGAACGACAGAAGTCTTCGAAGCAGTCAGCACAGAAGGAGTGCTGGCAACTCGTGATCAAAAGCGCCTCTGCGTTATTGTGGCAGAGCCCACAGGCAGGGCGATCCCCATTGGCTTGAGATCCCTTGTCTAATACCCAAGACTCTCGTTGTTGTGATTGCGGACCATCGGCAAGAGTACGCAGTGCGGATCGACATTTGTCAACTTTTGAATTTGTGCCGTACAATCTGATCCCCTTCGATATCGGGAATCGTCGAATAGCTACCCCAGTGCGGCATTCAAGGTTCTTAATGTCCTGGTGCTGAAGACCAAGAACTCTTTCCCGAATTATAGAGTCATCGTCCCCCATGCCTAGAGCATGCCCTTCAAGAATCGCATCAATTCTCTTCTTGGTCTCAGCCATCAATTCCTGACTTTTGCTGCTCAGAATCAAAACTAGAAACTCTGCCTCTTCTTGATGACTGCAAGGAGAGTGAACGTCAAACTGGACGCCGTTCTTGTCGGATGAGAAGGAACGTTGCATCGACTGGAAATCTTCCCATACAGCTCCAAGCACTTTCTGAGACAATCGGTAAGTGGCAGTGTAAAGATTGACCAAATCAAACTTGTCTGCCGCGGTGAAGCTCTTTCTGCTGTCGTCGTATGGCGGCATGAACCAGCAACGCCACGCAATTGCTTGTCTTGCGTCTGCTTCATTCTTGAACCTGACTGCGCCTTCATATCTTCCTGTCTTCTTGAAAAGCTTCGAGGTAAGCTCCGTTTCCAGGGTTCCAAATCTCTTCAAGCTTGATTCAAGCCATCCCCTTGCGGATGGGTCGTCTGTCAAATCAATCTTCGTGTCTTCCATTTCAAGGTCGTCTGGCAACTTGTCGTGAGGCATGCTTTTCAGGACGTCTTGAGCAGAAGCCTCCACTGGCACCAAGAGTCGAACAATGTACATGTCCGGCATTCGGTGTAGTGTCATCGGCGGGACAAGAGGAATGCCGAAGTGGGGGGATCCCATAGATACTTTTTCTCCCAAGACTTTGTAGTTGCCTTCATTGAACCGCTTGGCACAGTCGATGGCAGGGGATCTCGTGCGGAACCTGAGTTGAACGTTTCGCATAGGCCTTGGCCAATTGACAATAACCGTTCGGCTGCTGATATGATGCGAAAAGCCGCGGGGCTCCCTTGGTCCTCGAAGATTCCAGGCAAACACGATCAACTTCGAGAGATCAATATCTTTCATATCGGGCCGATCGTCCGCGTGAAGTTTGCCATGGATTATTTCAGGCAGCTCTGGGTTGTCCGTGCGCACGACTGCACAACTTGACATCTCATGTGTGTATCTATGAGCGTCGTCGGGGGCTGTCTGAATGCGATTTGCCGGTATGTGAATGTCGAAACGGCTGAGAAGTTCGGACACGAACTCCGGTGTGCTCTTCGGCGGGAGACGTCTGATCTTCACTGCAAGTAGTTCTTGCTGGATAACAACTTTCATCACTGCTGCTCCCGGCCCAAATGTCACCCAAGCCCCGGGGACTTCTCGTGTAATCTCGATCTCGGTTGCATTCACCTGTCTCGGATTAGCCATCCAGTTCTTGATACATGGCTGGGACTAAGTATGACTTGCCTTTGATTCCCTTAGATCAGAACCTGTGAGCCTAGTGTCTCGATCGGCATCTTTTGCGTGCGACAATGGACAATTATTGCCCCCCAAGCAGTTTCCTCTTGCATTAGATGCACAGGGAATATCCTTGAGAGGGCTTCTTAGATTTTGACCCCTTTCCACATTGGAAGTTGTAGACGATTGAGACTTCGGCTGCTTTGGGGCCGCCTCAACCTTCGGATTGGATTTGGGAGTTCTTCCCATTATGCTCATCATGGGGTTTTGCGACTTTGGCTTCTTACTGGCGACTTCCGCCTTTGTAGTGACGAGAACAAACGGCTTTGACTGAGGATTGAGTCGAGACTTATTTCCGAAGTTCTCCACGCGCAACGAAGCATCAGGAGCACATTCCGCGTCGATCTTGCTGTTGATCGAAGTCGCTAGGAGTGCAGAAGGGACCGTTTTAGCGTTCAAGCGACTATTTCTTCCCAGATTGTCGACGCGGTGGGGAACATTAGGAACATATTCCAAATCAATTTCATCGCTCGATACGACATAGGGCGAGGCGTTCTTGTCACAGACTTGACAGGGAAATTTCGACAGATCTGACTGAACCTCCCGGCGCAGTTGCCTGCAATAATTCGAGGAGCAGTAGGTCAACTCTTCGCCGTGATGCCACCTGAAAGTATGGAAGGAAGAAATGAGAACTCTTTCGAAAGTGAATGAGGACAACAGCTGTTGCAGTTGCTCAAGCTGGAACAACGCGCCACAGGAACCCCCTTCAGCCGGACAGGTGAGGATACCACCATTCGTGTGACCAAAGTTCGATAGGCAATAGCTCTCGAAGCATGCGAGGCAATAGACATGCCCAGAGTTCGCCGAGATGGGATCTTGTGCTTTTCTCAGGCAAATCGAACAGCGACCAGCCCTGTCTTTCGTGCTCTGGGGCACACGCTTTCGCTGTGACAACATGGTTTCGGCCGTTTTACAAAGACGTGACGGTCCAAGAATTTCGACAGTCTTTGGTGTCGAGAGCGTGTTGAACATGACCGATTCAGACCCGATGGCATCTGAGATTGCCTCAAACCCACCAGTCAGAATCCAGGTCAGACTCTGATCATCAAGTTTAATCGACTTGACTGATGGATGATTCAGCGGCATTCCCACATCTTTCCATGCCTTCTGAGCGCCCTTAACCTTTTCAGGGCTTCCGTACATTCGCACTGTCTTTTGCGATGGGACACACTGAAAGACGACTCCGTACTTCTGCTCTAGGGGACTCATGAGCTGGGGGGCAGCAGCCGTGTTCCCTAGGAACGGATTCCAGACGGCCTGGCCAATTGGCGACTTCAAGATCACGCCTTTCAAGACCCCATCAAGGAATCGTTTGACAGAAGAATAAGCGGGGCTGTCAAGACTGCGCAAAGTGAGAATGATGAAGTGGTTTGTCGATGGATAGTACGCAAAGTCAACGCGTCGACCCTCGTGGGAAAAGGCACTTTGAACGGCCTTCACTGTCTCCCAAACAACAGAGAACACTCTAGCGCTCACTCTGTAGGTCGCAGAGTAGATCTTGCTGGTGTCGTGATAACCTGGTAAGTCGGGCGTATGATTGAGCTGGCGGCGAAGGTTATCATTTGCCATACAGCCTGTGCCAGGGCAGACTAAGACGTCAAAGTCTCTCAATAGAATACCTCTGATTGCGGGATAGTTGACTTGATGAATCTTTTCCATGAGATCGGTAGCGGAGTCGATGTCTGGCTTGAGCTCATAGGCTTTCATAATGTCGACAGTGATTGACTTCGATCCCTGGGTGGATGGGAAGGCATCAGTCCAGTGCTGATCTGATGGCAAAACCATTTTCTCCACGACCGCACCCTGGCCGAAGGTGATCCTAGCCAAGGGAAACTCGCGAATTATGATCTTCTTCCTAGTAGTACTCTTGACGCGCGTTAGAAAGGTCAAAAGCGCGTCAGAGAACGGCACCACTCACGATAGCGATCTTGGGGGCGACAATGACATCATCGCGGACCGTGTGCGACAACGGGCATTCAGTGCTGACGTCACACCTTCCCAGTGTAAAGGCGCCGCACGCGACCTTATTGAAGCCGCCTGCAACAGTTGATTTGGTGGTGCTTTCTCCAGCTTCGGGGGCCTGTCCGTGACGAAAGATGCATCGATTGCCTCGAAAGCGCCACTCTTGTTTTAGATGGTCGTAAGGGTTGGGCACAGGGTCACGAGGCACGGCATCGTCGTCCTCGTTATATTCCCAAGGTTTGGGTTTCCGGATAAACATGATCAACCGAGCTAGTCGAGTCCTCAAAACCAGTTCTGGCTGAGCGTCAGAGGCAGAGAGAGAGAGAGAGAGTCGATTAATTGATGATAAACCTGATGCTGTGTAGGGCAACGATAACAGCAAAGTGCTTCCACACGCTCCTGGAGACAGCTACGCCAAGTTCTTGTGTGCATGTCATAGTGACAAATCAGGGCCAAAAAGCCCTTCTCGATGAATCTTTCTTTTTCTGCGCATATGCATATCGCTTATGCTTGCATTGACGCTGAAGGCCGACCATTCTGGCGCAATCAGAGATCGCGATCAGGCCGCCGGTGATTTGCCCCAAACCGATGTAACAGTACATAGTACTGGTTGGCGCTGAAAGGGGTCGGGTGGTTCTAAACACCGAGGAACAAAATCTGTTGAGTTATCGACGAGACAACAACATGATCGATTACAGAATTAGAGTCTCGCAACTTCATCTGGAAGCTAACAACCGCGACGACGGATATTACAAGAAGCGGGTGCTTGATAAAGCTAGTGGTGTTGAGCATAAATATGCCCCAACGCTTTTCAGCCTTCCAACCTCAACACCATGCTACTCTCTCGCCATACCCCGAATCTCACTCGAAAATAAGGACGTCGAAGTACTATATAGGCGATGATTGTGATTTCCTTCTCCTCTGAGTGACGGCCGGCGATTGAGAGCGTGCAATAGTGTGTGGAAACTAGGGATTAATATTCTTACAGACGATTGTACGTTTTAGACAGTACTGCACTCAAAGACATGATATGTGTAGCTGACAGAACGTCATAACAGTATTTGCAATGTCTACAATGATGGTTCAAGTTCTCATTCAGTAAAACGTTTGATATTACAGTTCCTGTGAAGTATACGTTACATACCTATCAGAAGTCAGGCTTGAACTGCAAAACGCAACATGACTCTCATCTCCTCCTATCTAGGACTCCACGGAAACGACGTCCTCCGATAATGATTGATTGAGTGGCTGGACGTCGGGTTTCAGAGGTTTCGCTTGCATCTCCTCGGTTGTCGGAATCCTGAGCTCGAACAGGCGCGAAGAGCCCAGCCAGGGCACTAGTCTCCCTTGACACATGATTTCCCTGCGGGTCTAAGATATCCACCAGCCAAATGTGTGGTCCGTAAGCTTCAGATTGCGTGACTTTGGCCGCAAAGGCGTCACATGTGTGTTTGTGGCGAGTCTTTGGCGTCATTTCCGCGAAATCCTCCAAACTCGAGGATGGCGGCATATAGTGGAGTTGGGTCATCAATGTGAGCACCTTGAGTCTGCCATGATTGAGCCTTTTCGGGTCGAATACGAATCGCAAGGTAAGGGCCACATCAGGCAGTGATTTTCCTTCGAGTATCCCAATTATCATGCGTCCTTGACCGTCCTGTACATGGGCTAGGTCGTTGTCCCGTTCGATAATGTCTGGTACCCCGTATTGACGGCTATGATAATCGAAGTAATCGGGTGCGATACTATATCCGAGAGGTATCGTTCGAATCATGCTGTCAAACTCTCGCCACCAGGGCGCTCCCCTCCTCTCATAGCTGCTGCGAAAGTATACGAAAGGCTTGCAAATGTTCTTGAGGGCCCACACGCTTCTTGGAACAGACAAAAACGCGTGAGAAGCGCGATAGAAAGAAACAGCGTCTTCGAAAGCCGAAATTTTTGTCCCAGGCTTGCGCAGAGGTATTGCGATGCAGTTGAAGGGATCTTTGAATCTGCGACACCTCAAAGGTGCAAGGAAGTACTCTATACCTTTACTCCTATATTTTGGCAAACGAGCTGCTCCAAAAGGCAAAGGCTTGCCATTGTAGCCATTCAATGACAGGTGAGGTAATTGATATGGTCCTGGACGCGATACTTGTTTTAGTAGTGGGGTTGGAATGGTGACTCCATTGCCTCCAAATGATAGAAGCGATGGCATATCCTTAGTTCTAAACGGCAAGATGTCGCCAGAATCCCTGAACCAAGACGGATGCCCAGCAAGGAGATGAGAGGGCCACCCGTCGGGAATTAGTGGCGGCGTCCCCACGTGTTCATCGCCCCATGCGAAAATAGATTGATCGTCAGTCTCATGAATAATAGCTTGTTGAAGTCGCGCAAATGCTCGTTCGCCCTCTCCGTAGATCAGTGGCATATTAATGCCGAAAATGCCGAGCAAACAGTACGCAACGTCCTCGACACGAGTAGTTCGTCTCCTGGAAGCCCAGGACATTCGCTCAGCCACGCTCGCATTATCCAGGCGCGTGGAATCGCTTCCTCCTCCATCAACAAAAGTGTCTTCTATGCCGGTCACTTCGGCAATTGCGTCCCGAAATTCTGAACGAGAGCCCAGGATTTTCCAATCGGATGAATAGAAGTCAAGAAGCCTAGGAGCCAAAAGCTCCTGTAAAGTCCATCCACGCGTGAACCAGCGACTTTCGGACAGGTATCTTGGTATATCGGCTTTTGAATCCGGGTAAGGAACGTCCGAGAGATAGGCGATACAGACAACGGCATTTTGGTAGAACTTGAACATGGAGTTTATCGCCTCGGATAGCTCAGCGCTACTAGACTTATCGATACAGCACGTATCGATCCAAATCCAAGTATACCCCAAACTCCGTGCCAAGTCACAGGAGCCCCGGACTTTAGCCCACCCTGCCTTCGGGACGGCTGGGTTGCTGATATCCGCGAAGAGCACCTCTTCCTCGCCCCATGTATGTGAGAGGATCGCGTACGGGGGAATCTTGCCGCCGAAGTCGTCGAGTTGAAGCGTCGCAGTGTTCAGCAGTCGCATGGTGAGCGATGGGACTTATCGTCAACTGTTGTTTATGTTTTCTGAGATGCGAGATGATGCAGAAGGGAAGTTGAGCATTTCACTCGACGAGGCTGCGGCATTATCAAAGGTGGGGACGGTTGCCTAACAAAATTCCTCGTAAGCGCCCACAAACCTGACTGTATCTTATTACAAGGGTATATGCAGGGCCAGCACATCGATGCGTCAATTGAAGAAAATAGACTTGCTCTCTTCTGAGATCCACCGCGTCGTTGGTCTGTAAGCGGGCAGACGTGGCGCACCTATGCGCACCTAGTAAGAGAGGGAAGGAGGGGTAGAGAGGAATAAATGGACTGTAGGCCTTGCGCAGCTTTCAACTTGAACCGAAATTGAAACGAAAAGACTTCGTCTTGAAAAAGCTGTGAGGAAGTGTGTGTGATCGCAATTCTCGCTTGGGGGTTAATGGACTTTTACACCTAAGGGAACAAAACTTGTTAGAAGAGCGGGCATCTATAATTCTTGTCGGGCACGGTGATGAATCCGTAGAAGACTTGTAAACCATCGTATTTCCGTTTTCCTACTGAAAAAAATAACTCAAATTATCTCCAGATTCTTCAATCATAGACCAAGTTCACAGAAACCCCATCCTCACCACAACCAAAGCCACACGACGTCAACCAGCTCCTCCCACTGGTAAAGCTCCAGCCACCAAACGCCCCAAGCTCCCTCCCACCTTCCCGCGCACCCCACAACCTTAAGCCCACCCAGCCGGTACGCACAGACCAGCCAGGCACCCAAGCACCCGGCACTAGCACCAACACGGCCCCCCGCGGGCCGCCGCTCCTGCTCCTCCTCCTGGGCCCCGCCAGCCGGCAATGACATCAACACGAGACCTCCCAGAAAAAAAAGAAAAAAAAAAGGCCATCTTAGACACGGGCGGCGCGCCACCATACTTTGCCAGCTAAACCGTGTCACGAGCGGACCTAAGATTCCTTCATCCCAAGAATCTGACATTCTTTCACCACATCTTCCCCGGATCTGCATTTCTCTGAATTTTACAAAAAGCCCACCTGCTCCACAACCCAAAACCTGCCGACACCTCACGTCTAACCCTCACTCACCCTTACAACCAAAACTTCTCAACACCAACCACGACGACAACCATGACAATCCCAGCCCCATACTACCACCTCTTCACCCTCCTCGACCCCCTAATCGCCCTCTGGGGCACCTCCCTCTTCCTCCTCTCCCCCAAAACCGTCACATCCTCCTACCTGCCCCCCTCCCACAACCCAATCGACCCCTCCATCGCCCACCCGGCCGCCGCCCTCTCCATCTCCACGCCCTCCCTCGCCGCCTCGCTGCGCGAGTACTCCCTGCCCCTGCACGCCCAGATCGCGGGCCACCTCCTCTCCAACGCGCTCCTCTCCGCCGTCCTCCTGCGCTCAACAACGGACCTGAAAGTGTGGCGCGTCTACCAGCTGTCGCTCTTCCTCGTCGACGCGTTCCTGCTGTACGGCACGTTCGCATCGTATGCGCTGCAGGGAAGGCTAAACCCGTTCACGACCTGGCGGGTGGAGGATTGGGGCGCGGTGGCTATTACGACGCTGGCTGGCGTGACGAGGCTTGCGTTCCTGGTAGGGCTGGGATTTCCGAAGCAGCAGAGGGCCAAGAGGGCGTGATCCGATGCGCGTAGCCAAAAAACTAAAACATGCACAAAGTTTTGCGGTGACAGCGTTGGGTGCTTTTATTGAGAGTCAAATGAACAGGGTATCACCTTATCCAGTCTATCCTCGGCCATACCAGCCGTCACTCCCAATGATTCCGAACATGATACCCAAATATGTAATCCGTAGCCCCAAGTCAAACTCGCAGCTATGACAAAGTCCTTCTCTATGCAAACCAATAATGAAAAATCTCTGCACCAGCCACATCGTACAAACGTCTCTCATAAATCATCAGGGAAGCTTGATCCCCTCGTCACAATCCAAATTATCGAAGACCGAATACACCCTTCTCCACAATGAAGCGAACCGGCTTCCTTGCCCGACGGCGGATGCTCAGTGCATGTGGCCGTCCCCCGAGACCGACATGGTTCGTCGTCGGTTTCGGGCTTGGCAGCGGGAGCGGGACTTGACCGGGAGACAAGCCGTTGCCGCCGCGCTCGTCAAATCCCCACCTCATCACGCCTCCGCTACGGATCCAGTGCTCAAGGTTCCTGCACTGACTGACATCAACCCACTGTATCCTGCTGCAGCCCTCGAGTAGGTTCTCCACGCCGGCGCCGGTGACACGGACGCAGCCACGGACTGAGATACCCTCGAGCTCGTTGAGATGGAGAGCTACAGACTGTAGACTGGCGTCGGAGACGGCGCTACCGCAAAAGGCGAGGCGAAGCTCGCGGAGATTCGGCAGGCCGAGAGCCACGACTTCGGTAGCGGTGTCTGAAAGTGCACAACAGAAGGAAAGGTCCAGGTGCGTAAGGTTCTTGGCAGCGCCAACCAAAGCGACGATGGCGTTGTCGGAGAGATAGGTGCAATCGGCCAAGCACAAATGCGACAGGTTCAAGAACCGGTAGGGCGCCCATGACTGAAAACCGGCGTCCGTAATGGATGTGCACCGTGTGAGCGACAGAGACTCTATGCGGTTGGATGCATGAGCCGCCATGTGTGCCATTGACCTATCAGTGATGTGCTTGCAATATGACAGGTTGAGATGCTTCAATTTGGGGCATCCGATGATCGTCCCTGGCTTCGGGATGTTGGCCAGTCTTGGCGCTTGTTGGGCCACGGCCTTTGGAGGCTTCGCCTTTGCGTTGGAGCTGGAGATGACGACTTGTTTGCTGGCCGGCGGCGGCGGTGGCGGCTCGGGAACAACCCAGCCAACGACACGCGCAAGAAGGTTGTCGCCAACCTTGCGGCAATTGCTCCAATCAACCTCCTCGAGGTCCTTTGCATTTTCGGCCATGTCCAGGATCTGGTTAGCAGAGACATCCCAAACGGACCGCATTCTCCACCGCTTTACGTTACGACCGCAACTCTCCCAAAGACAACGGAACCCATCGTCGGTAATGTGGAAGCAGTTGCTAATGTCGATGGTCTCGGGCCGCGTACCAACAAAAGGCCCGATCGAGGTTTTGATGGCCATGTCCGTGACGCGTCTGTTATACTCTGATAAATCCAAATCCAGGCACACCTCGGGATGTGTCGTCAGGAGCTTGCGCCAATGACTAGAGACAAGCCGTGCACGCATGAGCTCGGCAATATCCAAAAACCGGAAAACAGCGACGAGCATATCGTCGGGCAGCGCAGGGATTTGCGCCGGATGCGGTCGCCGAGGCAGCGTTCGAGCTCGCTTAACAGGCACCTGGACCTCCGAGTCGGGAGGTGACTGGGGCACGGAGAAACGGAGGGGTGTTGAGTCGAGCTGGTGTACCCGGAAGCCGTTCACCCCTGTAGGCGACGACGTATCGGATTGCGGGGTAGGAGGGGCCAGGGAGTTGCGTCGCCTATTCCGCATATTTTCCATGTCCACGCTCAGAAACGGATCGGGGTCCTTCGGCTCCATTGTATCGTCGTCTTTCGTAGGAGATGCCGGCTTGGATGGGGTCGTGAAGGCGATGTGGGGAAGAGCCTTTGGCGTCGTCGGGGTAGGAGGGTCTGACTTGCTGGTCCTTTCTCTGGGGTCTGCGTCCGCCATCTCAACATCATCGTCCGACTTCTTGTATCTTTTCCGTGCCGTCTCTTCCACCTGCGACTTGATATCCGGTGGGCATCGGCTCCATAGTTTATCCAATGCATCCCCCGGGATCATTAAACATTCAACCGTCGTAATCGCCCTAACAGTGGCCGTGCGCCCCTCTGACAGACCAAGACTTGCCACCTCTCCAAAGTATTGGCCAGCTTTCAACCTCGGACGTATGTACGACGCCCGCGTTAGCTTCTTGAACGGTTCGTGGGGGCTAGGTGCCTCATGTATGACTTCAGCCTCGCCACGAACAATGAAGAAGATCTCATTGCCAGCGGAGCCTTGTTGGATGATATCCGTGAAAGGTGCATACGTCTTCGGCTGAGCGCTCAAGCCGAGGAAGTGCAGGATGTCTGGGGGTAATGTCGAGAAAAGCGGGAGCTCCTTCAGGGTTTTGCGTACGTTGACGAAACCGCTTCCGAGCGCGCTCCCGGCTGCAGGATCCTCAATAGCTCCTGGACTAGGCGACTTTCTCTTTTTCGAGTTGACGACCGTTCCCTCCTTGATTGTGCCAACTTCGCCTGTCGAAACTTCACCCGGCGCCGGTTCCCGCAGCCCGTTGATGTGCGACGAGGGGCTTTTCAAAGGCTGGCCACCTTCTTGCCGTTTCTTTTTGAGAATGTTCAATCGTTCTTGGGCTTCCTGGCGAATTGCCTTTTCCATGTCGGGGAACTTTGGCAACTCGGCCTGGAGATCCTCCTTCTTAAGGACCACGAGAAGACATTTTGTCCTAGCAATGATGGTTGCGGTGCGGGGGATATTCATAAGCACTCCAATCTCACCAAAGAAGGCACCGGGTTTGAGTTCAGCATAGATAGCCTCACCATCTCGGGAAGTAACGGCCACGACACCTCGCACCAACCAGTACATTGCCCGAGCGTCATCGCCTTCTGTGAGGATGTGGTCCTGTGCTGCGTGAACCTGCGGTCGCATATGATTACCGATCGCAGCCAGGAACTCTTCTGGTGCGGAGACAAACAGAGGGAACGATCTGATGCGGTCGACCAGATCAAGCGGCATATCCCGGATGGTCGAGGCGGTCAATGGAGACGGGCGCATGGGCCGGGTAGGGTTCGAGTCTGAATTGAAGGACCTGAGGAGGGAAAGGGAGTCAGGCAGCCCGCCTGGACCAGCGGCACCAGCGCCATGAGCCAGAGCCCGGTAGGGCGATGGTGATGTCGGGGAGCGATTCCGCCTCATGGTCCGGGAGGGATGCCGCGTGCGTGGTCGTGTCGACGCCAGGTTTCCGGTGTGCCTTGCCGGCTAAGCTCTCC